GGAAGAAAACTGAATTTGGACAGAAACCTTTTGTGCAATACAGCATTAGGTGAATAATCAAATTACCAGAAGGACGTAGGGAGGAAAACTTTTAAAAATTCAAGTAGGAACCTTGACAAAAATGGCAAGTAGGGGTGCCGGATGTGAAAAATTAAGGTTACCTAGGTAAATAACAGAATATTCATCAAATCCCTGCCAATTGTCACATACATTTAGAGCTTCCCTGTTTTCTGGTTGATTATTTTGATGGGAAATTATTCATTGAATGAAGAAAGCACCCACCAATCTCTCTGCTTCCATCGTCATGTGCAACCTACTCTGTAAATGGACACCACCACAAATACACACTCACGTGAAAAGGTTCTGCATAAATACTCCCTGAATCTCAAGATTACCAAGTGAATCTAAGAACATACTACCTTCTTCAATGCCTCAACTTTTCAATCCTGGACTGCTGTATTCCTTCCCTTTGCCAAAATGTTATTGTGCGGACAGCTCCAAAATTACTAGAATCTGCAGAATTTTGCTAATCCTGCCTCCAAATACATGCTACATTGTGTGGCTCAGCCATAATTGTTATAAGAAATTATTGTATTCCATAATCCTGCTCAACATTTCTAAATTTTAATACTTTCCCTGATAGTTTCATGTTTTGGATCAGAATAAAAGAAATGTGAAGAAAACCTATTAGAATTACATAGATTAAATACAATGCACCAAAATATTGGAAAGATCAATTATCAACAGAATAAAAGATACCATGAATGCTTAGCAAAGGTAACAAAATTACAAACCAAACCCACCAATACTACACTGGATGGCACGGTGGTTCAGCAGTTGGCACGCTGTTTCACAGAGCCAGGGACTCGGGAGTTACTTACATTTGATCATCTAAACATGTTGCAATGCTAAAGAGTTAGCTGATAGTTAGAAGATAGTTTAGTCTTGCAACCATAAACACTTGCCGCTATTTGTAAAGCTTGAAACCCTACCTAAATGCTTAAATATTCCAAGAATTTGGTTGCTTATGCCACATCATTGTTTTGAACAAGGAGAAAAGGCAAGTCCAACAACGTGGTCTGAACCCATGCCGTTAGCAATAGGTACCATGCTCTAGCCATCTAAGCTAATTAGGCTACAGATTTAAGTAATAGATGGATTATCATGGCTTAATCAACTAAGTCTCAAACATAAAAATATTTCATAAAACTTTTCCGTGCACTACATGGTTTAGAACTTACAAATACTAACAATAAAAAAAGTGTGTATTTTTCACATATGTTGTCAACACAAAGTAATTTAAATTTTGCGTTGATGCCAACATGGCAGTGCAAATTGAGAATCACAGATGTATCCCATCCCTTACACTTTGTGACTATTTAAATTCTCAGGGCCTGATTTTATGTTGAAGTGAGTCATTGGTCTTGACAGGGTTAAAAATTGAGCCTATAAAGGAGGGCTTTATCCATCCCCAACTTCATTTTAACAATTTATATAACAAAAGGAAGTTCTACATAAGCTTTATCCAGGCGTGTCCACGGCTCTCTCCTAGCAAGATTATTACTGCTTCTAACCAAGAATTACAAACAGAATTTTGACATAGTAAAACGAGAACCAACGAGACTACGAAAAGGTGAGGCCCATTAAACTGCAGCAATTAATGATCTTGTAATTCCAAATGGCTCAAAGGATCTGTACACCTATGTACTTACTTTCTCCTGTAAGCAAATATATGCAAAGTCCTTAGTAATAGCAAAGCTATTATTACAAATAAAGACATTTGAATTGATTGTGTATTTTTTTTTGAAAGGTTCATTTAGGGGATGTGGATGTTACTGGCTAGGCAATCCTCAAGTGCCCAGTGTTGCTGTGGGTTTGGAATTACATGTATGTCAGACCAAGTAAGGTCAGTTTCTCAACTTGATTCCAGACTTCTTTTTATTCAATTCCAATGTCACTATCTGCCATTGCAGGATTCAAATCTGGGTCCCTAGAATATTAGAGATAGTAGGAACTGCAGATGCTGGAGAATCTGAGACAACAAGGTGCAGGGCTGGATGAACACAGCAGGCCAAGCAGCATCATAGGAGCAGAGAGGCTGACGTTTCGGGCCTAGACCCTTCATCAGAAAAGGGGGAGGGGAAGGGGGTTTTGAAATAAATAGGGAGAGAGTGGGAGGCGGATAGAAGAGGGATAGAGGAGAGGATAGGTGGAGAAGAAACAAACAGGTCGAAGAGGCGGGGATGGGGCCAGGAAAGGTGAGTGTAGGTAGGGAGTTAGGAAGGGGATAGGTCAGTCCAGGGAGGACGGACAGGTCAAGGGGGCGGGATGAGGTTGGTCGGTAGGAGATGGAGGTGCGGCTTGAGGTGGGAGGAGGGGATAGGTGGGAGGAAGAACAGGTTAGGGAGGCAGGGACGAGCTGGACTGGTTTTGGGATGCGGTGGGGGGAGGGGAGATTTTGAAACTTGTGAAATCCACATTGATACCATTGGGCTGCAGGGTTCCCAAGCGGAATATGAGTTGCTGTTCCTGCAACCTTCGGGTGGCATCGTTGTGGCACTGCAGGAGGCCCAGGATGGACATGTCGTCTGAGGAATGGGAGGGGGAGTTGAAATGGTTCGCGACTGGGAGGTGCAGTTGTTTGTTGCGAACCGAGCGTAGGTGTTCTGATTTGGAATGCTGCCATTTTATCTTTGGAATAATAGGGCAGATTAATCACTGAAGATGTAACCTTTATTGTTTTGTCAATAAAATTTGATATTTTCACATTGAGGGGCTAGACAGGCAACCTTTCCCATTCTCTGATCCTTTTCACTCATTCTCTCCCAAACCTTACCTCTCACTTTGTCTCACTCTACCCACTTCAACTTCAGGAAAGTAATCCAGAGGGCTATGCACTCCAAATATTTCCACCAGCAGACATTTCTCATTGAAATAAGACCACAAGACCATAAGAATTAGTAACAGAAGTAGGCTATTTGGCCCCTTGTGCTCACTCTGCCATTCAATAAGATCATGGCTAATCCAACATTCCTCATGTCCAATTTCCTGGAACCTTTGATTCCCCTACTAATCCAGAATTTACCAATCTCAACCTTAATGAAAGTTGCCAAGATTTATTCCCTCTGCAGATACATAAAAGTACTTTGATAAATGCCAACTTCTTTTTGAAAATGAAATGGAAGTAAAAAATATTGGGAATGACCTGATGGCCTATCACTCCCTATCTCACTGAAGTTCCCCTTCACCATCTGACTCTCATTGCTTTCTTGTCATGGTGTAATGTTCATCTCCTTCCTTTCCCTAAGTCAGTCTTCCTGAAAACCTCCTATTCAGAGACTCGGCCCACAGATTCACTGCCATAGCTCCAGACCTCAGGCTACTTGCAACTCCTCCAATCACAGACTGTTTTTTTGTATTTGCTGCTGAGAGAACGACCAGTAAGGCTGCAGTAGCACACATGTAGAGAAAGGGCTTCGGATTGGAGGAGAATCTTCTTGCCAAACCTTCCACTTATACCTAATAAAACTCCAGCTTCAAATAAAACGTAAATAAAAGAAAAAATATTAAAAATAAACTTTCACCTTACATAATTTTGCTCCTGGTCTATGATTCGTCTTGCGTAAGCTTATGTAATTATTAATTATGGGAACTCTAACAAGCGAGCTATAAATTTACCTAACAGCAAAACTGTATGAAAATGCTCTGGTGGGCCATTATATGGCCTGGAGGCCATAGGTTGGGTACCCCTAGACTAATATAACTCAAGTAGAAAAATGCTTTTATTATTTGAACGTAAGGTGCGAATTTATCGAAGTGCCATTTTAAAAAAAACCTGAGGTACAGCATACCAAATGTTAACACATTGAAATGTGGATTAAACAAGGCTTGACCACAAATGAAAATTTCCACTTTAAAACAAAAATAACTATGCCAACTATGCATTAGCAAGATATACATTAACATTAGATACATTAGCATACCTGTCTTGTATGATTCTGAGAATATGACTGTGCCAGGCTGTTGCTTGACTAGCTTGAGGGGCAGCTCTTTCTCTTTTAGCACTAGCCCCAGGTGTTAGTAAGGCAGAATTTGCAGTGTTGACAGGGCAGTACAGTAGCAGAGTGTTTAGCATCGCTGCCTCTCAGTGCCAGGGACGCAGGTTCAATTCTAACCTCAGGCGATTATCAGTGAAGTTTGCATGTTCTCCACATGTCTGCATCGGTTTCTGCTGGGTGCACAGTCCAAAAGGCGTGAGTGTTAGGTGGACTGGCAATGGTAAATTGCCTCGTAGTGTCCAGGAACGTGCAGGCTAGGTGAATTAGGCAAGGTAAATGCGGGATTATGGGATGGGGCTGGACTTAGGTGGGATGTACTTCGGAGGGTCTACGCAAATTTGATGGGCCAATTGGCCTCTATCTGCACAGTAAGGATTCTATGATTCTATATACTCACCTACACAACATGAAAGTCCTCAGGTGATTCTACTCATCAGTCACCACAACCACAGTAGAAACACATACTGTTTCGTTTCTGGATCTACCAGGGTTTCTACTTATGTAGTGACAAAGTTACAGGAATCAGGTGAGGCCCCAAAGAGATGCTCGGTGATAGTGCCCAAGGCCTTTTTGGGACTTGAACTTAGATTTCGCTTGAGCAATTTTACAACATGCAACTTGATATAGCATACTAAACTAGTGACAAAAATAAAGTTATTACAAACAATTACCTTAAATGAAGAGAAATAACCACTTATACATCTAAACACTAATGTTATTAAACCCGTAGATGCAACCAGAATAACTAGTTTCATTTTGCTGCAGGACCAAGGCAAGAACTTTAGGAAAGATATCATTAAATAATTATAAATGCTCTGGATGGTGCTTGAAAATAGATTTCTTTCTCAAGTGGATTGTTTTTGACTAATACTGTCACTGGTTACAGTGCCAAATTCTCACACACACAGAAGATGCCACACTATATAATGTATTGCTGCATACCTAATAGTTTCTCCCAAATAGTTGAGAGTAACAACCTCTTCATTTCCCCACAAGGACCAGCCCTCCTCCTCCTGATCAGTCTCCAACGGTGTGTGAGAGATGTAACTCGGAGAAGATAGATTTTGTGGAGTCTCTTCCATTCTTCTGAGCACCCTCCACTCACAGTGCTCATATCCAGCCAACCCCTCCAAACCTGTGCAGAGTACAAATAGGGAAATTCTTTCTTTCCCCCAGATACACTTGAGAAAAATAACTAAAGTTCTAACATTGGTCATATCCTTTCAAACTGTACAGGAACGGGGTTGGTAATGAGTCTCAAAACATCATAAAGTAGGGATAATAAACATGTTTCTTTCAGCAAAAGAGATATTGGAGTATAGTATGTAAATAATTTCAGTCATGAGGTATGATACTTGGGGGGAAAAAATAACTTTGTACTAATGGCTCCCAAAGGTCTCAGAGTTTTTTCCTCATGCTAGTTTTCTTGAGATTGACTGCCGTGACTACTTAACAATACAGACATCATTTTATCTTGGAATTACTGAGATGGGTGGATGGCAATCTTGCTGACCATGGTCTTTTTCAGCTTAACAATTTGCTTGTTTCCTCATTAATCTTTGTGTGATTGTTTCCCAGGGAATGTGAATGCCTTTAGCAGCAGTTTGTGGATTGATAGATGTGTTAGAATTGTGTTTTAAAAAAAAAAACCATTAGCTACTTCTAAATTGAGGAAAACTGAAAACACATTAACTAGGCAAAACACAAATATCAAAATCCAATTCTGGAAACAGCAGCAACCCGGTGGTAAAATTCTCTTTCCCCATCTCTAAACATATTGCAGCATGGGAGAATAAAGATAATAAAATTTGGTCAAACTTACTGTTGCTAGCAGTAACATTAACCTCTTCAACTTGTTGAAGAATGTCACTTTCATGAATGATCTGTGAAAGGCCAATGGCTCGAACAGGAGGATCAAGGCCAACAGAACTTTCATTCACTGTCACATCACTGGCACCTGTAATCGGATTAGTGGGTGGCCCTCCTATGGATCCATCAAAATCAGTTGTTACGTCATCTGCACAATCTGCATTTGGCTACAAGAAAAAGGATGCACATTATAATTAAACAAATTCTTTCATTTCCTGATAAATAAAAACACAGATATTGATGTTTCTTATAGCAATTTCCACTAATTTTCACAGAACATACATACATTATTGAAAAGGGATAAATGGAAAGTTTGGATTACTATTGTCAGGGTCAGAAATACAAAATTGTTAAGGATTTGATAAACAGAGGGAAGCACTCAAAATAAATGAAAACAGAATTTACAGTATGTAGTTGCACTTTTCAATATGCAAGATGACAAATCAAAAACACTTTCTAATCCCTATAAGAATGTAATAGACTGAACTGAATGTTTAAACTTAAACCAGATGTTTCTCGTTTAGAAACATCAGAAAATCCTACCTCAATTTTTCCCTTAGCAATTACAATGCTACCAATCAACAGAAATTACCAGCTAATGAATAACATGCACTCAAAGCTATGATAAATACATAACTAGTTTTACTCCCAACTGAAGACTATTTGCAAAAGTGCAATTTGTCACAAGTTTATTATGCAAAATTACTTTCATGAATATCATTACATTATCTAAGCTATGATGTTTGTATTGATTGCTCTTCATAGCCAAACAAAACACAGGTAACAGTTTCACTGGATATTAGATTTACATAATGACAACTCAACCATTGCACACTACCAGAAAGTAATACTGTATTATTGACTTTTTATTTAATGTTTCATAAGTTGCTTAAAAATAATTAATTTATGTTACAAAACTGAAGCACTGGGTCGAGGTAACAATGAACTACAAGAATAAAAATTTGAGTGGTTATCAATATACTTCATGGTATGTTGCAGTATAGAAATGTATTCTGCCCATATGATACTGTAAAATATATAGAGATACATCCAACTAATATATTTGCCACAGTGTCTACATGGGTTTCCTCCAGGTGCTTCGGTTTCCCCCCACAGTTCAAAGATGTGCAGATTGGGTGGATTGGCCATGTTAAATTGCCCACAGTGACCAACGATATGCAGCCTAGGTAGACCAACCATGGGAAATGCAGGGTTACAGGGCTTGGGTAGGGGGTGGGTCTGGTGAGATGCTCTTTGGAGGATCGGTGTAGACCTGATGGGCCGAATGGCCTGCTTCCACGCTGTAGGGAGTCTATGATACCTAAACAGATTAGGCCTTTATTATTGGAATTTAGAAAATGAGGTGCAATCTCATTGAAACACACAATATTCTGAGGAAGCTTGACAGGGGTAGATGCTGAGATGATGTTTCCATTAGTCAGGAAAACTCAGACAAGGAGACATAATTACAGACTAAGGGGAAACTCAAATACAATGGAATTTCTTCTCTCAAAGAAGACTGACATTTATGTCCTTCTCTATTCCAGAAAGAGGTGTGGAGGCTAGATCACTGGAAGTATTTAGAGACAGACAGACAGACTTTGAAAATAAGGAAGTTGAGGATCATTAGACACAAAAGGAGTTGAGACCTGGGATTATCAGACACGATCTTTCAGAATGATGAAGCAGGTCCGAGGGGCTGACTGGTTTATTCCTACTCCTATTTCTTATATTATGTTCCCTGTTGGAGCCCACCAGCTACTTCATATTGCATCAATCATACATCCCTAACCCATTTTGCATAACACATGAGATACTGACTGTTTTGGGGTCAAGAACGACAAGATAGAGAAGAGATAACCGAGAATTTGTCAATGTAGTTTCTGAATACTGCTGAAAGGACAAGTGTGATTGAAGATTTTCATCTTGCACTCATCGGGATAGCCACAAGAATACCAAATCTGAAAGGGAACAGGCTGCATCTCAAAATAAGAAAGATTTCAGTACCAGCTCCACTAAAAAATAATGAGCTGATTTAATGGGCCATAGTTAGATAATACAAAAGTTTCAGCAGCACATTTGTCTTAGCCAATACATCTACATTAGACTTCTGGGCTCCTTAATCAAATAAAGCTAGCAAGGTAGACGAAGACCTGCATCAGTCTCTTCAGTTCAGGAGTAAGACATGAGGGATAGTAAAGATGCGCTGATAGTGCCATAACCCATAGAAATGGACGCCAAAGTTGCTTAGGCTGCTCCATATTTCACCAGTGAATCTTAAGCATGATGCAGTGTTCTCTCACAGAGAAGGAACTAGAGTTGCCTTTAAGTCATCGCCATTTTGGTAGTGCAAGAGGAGGTGAAACTTGATGTTATCTATATATTGGCATGACTGGCAACAGGCAAGATAATGGGATCTCTAGCAGATGACAGAATTAATAACACAACATTGTACTACATAGAATACTCATGTTGATTTGATGTCAGCTTTCAATGAAATCCAGCTTTTTGCTACTGTCTCCTTTGCTGCAGTTGTCAAGGTGGAGGTAACTGGAAGGCCATCTCCAATTCTCTTCCTTTCTCAGGTGTTTTGCATTCTCATTTCCTATGATCAGAGCGTGAGCAGTAACATTTTGAGAAGATGGAAGGACATTTGAGGACAGTCACACCAATACAGTGAATGCCAATGACGGCAGAAATGCAATGATAGAAAGCGATGGAGGCATCCAACAAGAGGAGTGATCTACAAGGCTTGAGAATGCAAAATGAAAGTCTGAATGTGCCATGCCACTCATCTTTCCTGTAATGATCAGGTCACTGAACCTTTAGCAGCTCTGCATTCTGGAGCATGGCACCAACTCCAGCCAATGACCTCCTCTGCCATTTTCAATCTTGCCTGCTTATCTTTAGTGACGGCCCTGTTTCTCCTGTCCGTAGAGAAAGAAGTCTCCCTGAAGCATGTCTAATTGTGGAGATTCTTTACAGTAATGGAACTAAAAAAAAAAGAAGAGACTGATGTGGTTGCCATCATACCCACCTGCTGTGACTGGCTGAGAAAGGCTGAAGTCAGATGCATAGACTGTGGCTACTTTAAAAGCTGTGGGCAGCAACAGAACTATATTCAACAACAAAGTGTAACCTCATGGCTCAGCAAATCCCTCACTCTAAGTACCATCAAGTCAGGTGGATTAACCCTGGTTCAACAAGGAGTGCGGGATAGCATGCTCCAAGAATATGTAAAACTGAAGCTACATGCATGCCAGACATTGTAGAATCAATCAACCATCAGATCAAAGCTCTGCATCCATGTCACATCCAGTTGTGAACAGTGGTGGACTAACCAAAGGAGGATCCCATCCTCAATGACAGCATTATAGTGAAAAGTCAAGAATGTAGCATTTGCAATCATCTTCAGCCAGGAGCAGCAAGTGGACACTCTACCCTTCCGGCGATCCCCAGCATCACAAATACCAGCTTTCAGGCAATTAAGTTCATTCCACACATCCTGAAGGCGCTGGATACTGCAAAAGCGGACAATATCCAGATAGTAGTACAGAAGGCTTGTACTCCAAAATAAGGTGTGTTCCAAATCAAGTTGTTCCAGTACAAGTACAGCATTGGCATCTGTCAACAATGTGAAAAATTGCACAGGCATATCTTGCCAAAAAAAAACTAAATTCAATTTTTCCATCAAGTCAAATTCCAATCACCTTAACATTCCATCAGTTTTGCATTTGATTATTAGCAAAGTAATGGATCGTGCTGTCAACTGGGCTATTAAGCAGTATTGACACAGAAATAACCTGCTAACTGATGTTCAATTAGGGTTCTGCCAAGGCTAACTTATTAAACCCTTGGCCTAAACATGGGCAAAACAGCTGAATTTGAGAGGTCAGACGAGAATGACCACACAGGATATCAAGGCAGCATTTAAGTATAGCATCAAGGAGCCCTGCAACAATAGAGTCAATCAAGAATCAAGAAGTTGAAGTCAAATCGCAAAGAAAGCTGATTAAGCTTCTAACAAATACCATCATCTCTGTCCAGGAGATCGCTGCAGGAGTCCTGAAGGTTGTGTCCCGGGGCAAAACACACTCACAGCTGCTTCCTCAGTGACTTTCCTTCCATCAAAAGGTTATGGGTGTGACTGTTTACTAATGACCACATAACTTTCTGCACCATTTGCGACTTCTCAGATACCAAAGTAGTTTAAATTCATACACAGCAAAACCTGGACAACCTGGGCACATAAGTACCAAGCAACATCTGTGCCTAGCGTTAACGTCACTGGAGTAGTTCCTGAGAGGTCACAGGTTTAAATCTCATCATGGCATCAATTCAATTAATGAATCTGGAGCTGAAACCTAACCCCAGTAACGGTGACTATGAAATTAACTTTGATTGTCATAAAAATCTGTATGATTTTCACAATATCCTTTTGGAAGAGAGATGTGTCATCCTCACCTCATCTGACCTACAACTCCAGACCCACAGAAATGTGATTGATTCAAATGGCCCAGCAAGCCACTCAGCTCAAGGACAACTAGGAATGAGCAACAATTGTTGTCTTACCAGAAAATCCTACATTCTAGCAAACAATAAATTAAAAGCTACTTTTGCCAATGACATGCACAACCCAAGAAAGAATTTAAAAAACATCACCAAACTGCTGAAACCTCAGCATTTCTAACATGCTGCTGGCTTCTTCTCCCCACTAAAATGTCACCTCTTCTTTACACTGATAAAACCTTTAGTTCTCACAGGACAGTGACTTGAAAGAAATTTGGGAAACCTTCTAACTGATTAAAGATTTAACAGCATCTTAGGTTTGTTTAGTACACCCTCAGTGGTGTGACCCTTTGATCTTTTACTTTTATATCCTGTATCTGATACTACCTCTCTCACTAACACCTGGAGGAGTAAGGCTCCGAAAGCTTGTGTTTTCAAATAAATCTGTTGGCCTATAACTTGGTGTCTTGTGATTTCTGACCTTGTCCACTCCGAGTAGGTATGAAACTTAAAATTAAGCCCTCTGCCTCCATATAAATAACTTAGGTTCCTGTATATCCTTTTATTCGCCTCATCAACTTGTTTGCTATCTTCAAAAGACCTTTGTTCTTGCACCCCATTTAAAATTGCATTTTTTATTACCACAATGCTTCACTGCCTGAAAATTTTTCAGGCAAACATTTCAATTTCAATCAATCAGTCTGTTCACATAGCCCTGAGGTCTGTTACTATCATTCTCAATTTACAAAACTTCAAATTCCATATCATCTTGCAAACTTTGAAATTATGTCTGTATACCCAAGTCCAGATCAGCAATACATGATCCTAAAACCAATCCTAGGAGACAACACTGTATATATATGCTTTTAGTATTAAAAATTACCACCTTGTTTTTAATTATTTTAGTTAACATTATATTTGCAGTCACCTGCCCTTTCATATTCCATGGGCTTCAATTTTATTAACAAGTCTATCTTACGGCACTTTCTTCAAACAGTGCTTGAAGATCAATGCATGGATGTAATATCAACTGTTATTTCATTGAAAAACTTAAACAAGTTTGTCAAATAAGATTCAGCTTTTAACAAGTCTAAAAATCTGCCACTTATTACCCCACATTTGTTTAAGTGGCTGACTAGCCACTGGAAATAGGATTTATCTCTACTTTTTTTTTTTGAATATCTGTGCTGCCTTTAGAAATTGTTACCTAAAATCTCTGCACTCCTTTTGCCACTTATAAAAACCTCCTGCAAACTCATTGCAATTGATTAGGTTATCAGTAACTCAAAACAAACACTCTTTCAAGTCAAGAAGATATTTTCAAGATGACTGAAATATTTTGTGAATTTATTTTTAAGACATTACTGTACAAATACAAAATTCACTTCATAAAATGAGGAAGAATCACATTAACCAGTATCCAAAATGCTTCAAGTACCCATTGTTCCAAATTAGATAAAATCTGTAAAATATTAGAATGAAATAGGCAAACCTTTTTCAAGTTTTTGCACTCTCAAACAGACATGTAGGCAAGCTAAAAGGAACTGATTTTCCTTTGTAGCCTGGGGTAAGGGACAGTGGGGTGAAAGTATTCTTAAAAGCAGTTTCAGTCAGGGAGATGACTTTTCTCAGAACCTTATAGGAAATGGTAACTCATTCTCTTTCTAAAAATGCTCAATAGTCTGGGTAGCATTTCTAGCAATGTCAGTTTCTATTTTGGATTCCCAGCATACACTGTATTTTCCACATGTCTTTGTTCCCTGTTTATTTCTCACTGAAGGCACAGGTGATCAGTCTGCTCTATAGCAACATCCTTCAATGTTTAGCCTCTGCATCAGTATGGTCAAGATGATGCAAAGAACTAAAAAAAACCTGTTATTTAGACACTCTGAAGTATTAGAAGAATTTGAGACTGAAATTGCTAATGCTTATAAGTATAAAAGTTGATTTCCTTCAATGTTAGAAGTTCAGTAAAGTGATGGGTTGGACAGAGCAATTACAAGCCAATTAAAAAATTAATTCATTGTTCTGTAAAAATAGTACATATAAATCCAAATGATCAATATATCTAGACCAGAGTACTTATTTCGAGAGTTTCAGGGATCCACATCACATTCTATTGGATTACTCAAAGTTACGTTTAATTGATATATTAAAAAAAATGTTGAAACTTCGTTTATAACTTAATTATTTGTGACTTTCAAATTAAACTTCATATTTTTAACAGATCATTTACACTTTGTTGAAATAGAAACAATTTAATCTTTTGAACACAATGTATGACCATAACAACTAGTAGGACTAGTAGGCCATTCACCCTCAAGCCAGCATTTTTATAATATTATAATGATCTGTTTGTGTTTAGAATTCCATATTACCACAATTCCCAATAACCTTTGATGCAATTAACTAAGAATCTATCTCCATCTTAAAAAGCATTCAACGATCCTCCTTCCGCTGCCTTCTGAGAAATAAGTAAATCAAAAAAGGTCACTGGTTGTAATACCACTCCAATCTTGCCAGCACCATTAAAATCGAATTACTAATTATAGAAGTAAAATACTCAATAAACAAACCACTACTGAACTGTGCGTTTGTGTGCAGTCATTATATGCTTATGCTTTAAAAATGCCACACAAACCAAACATGAAGGATTCCAGATCAGTACAGTATCAGTGATTTAACTGATAACATTAGAGTATCCCTACCGGAATTCCTAGTGCTTTCAGAATATTCATTTTACACATTGGACAAGTACGATGATCTAGTAGCCATGGATCCACACAAGTCCTATGGAAAAGGTGCCTGCAACACAATACACAAACTTCAGTCAATTATAGCACCATTTAAAATATCTAATTTAATTTAAAAATAGCAACCAAACTCAGGTTAAAGATTGCAGTCTGAAAGCTAATGATTTATACATAAAATTAGGATAGCTCATTCTCAACTGACAAATTCAGAGTCATTAATCAACATTGCTGCATAATTTTCTATCATAATTTGCTCTAGCTGTGATTTATCTATCATTGGCAAAATAGAACAAGACAACCTTCATGTTTTTCACGGAGTACATTCTGAGCAGTATTTCCCTCAGTGACAATATATTTGCCTTGCATTGGTGACTCACTATTGGCATGTATCTGAAATTGCATTTTTATTTCCAACCCCATATGCCTCAATAACAGGCAACAGGAAGTCACATATAGAGGTGCACAATGCTGCTACTAAGTAGAACCTTTTCTTTTGCTCAGCTAACATTAATGGAGGAAACACCAATTGGAAGGTGGTCTTAACTTTGTTCTTATTAAATAAGAAAAATATAGGCAGATCTTAAAACATTACTATGAGACAAGTTTCTGTAGTAAATTGTGATGTATGAAAGGAACTGTACTTTCTGACCCTTGATTGATTCAGTTAAAATGAAAAATATTAGTTTTGCATGTAATTAATTTGACACTGATTTCTACAATATAATCAATGCTTACACCAAACCAAGAAAAAAGTGCAAAAAACATTCATTAAGTGTGATCTATCTCCAATGGTTTAAACTTCTAAGTGTGTGTGTAGTGGAAACTGTGTGCTTAATTTTTTTTTAAACCTGAAGACTCTTTTCAGGACATAACTTTTGTACTATGGATGATCTGTCATTGTCCAGCATATTATGAACTTTTAGTTAATATTTTTAAAATTTAGACACAAACAAACTATTACAGTGGCTGGTGTAAATCATATGACCCCAGGAGTCTCTGGAGCTCAAAATACCCAAGATTCGAGCAAATACCAAATTAAATATGGACATTCACAGTCAGCCACAGGATTCATACATTCATTTTAAGGATGGATCATCAGCCAAAAGAACTGTAGAATGACAGCAGTCCATCTCTGTTTCAACGTGGATAAAGGAGACATTTAATGTGTGCAAGACAAACTTGAGTGGATCCTATAAACTATCAATTATAATGGGCTCCCTTAGCCAAACGAGGCTGGTGTATTCAAAGATGTCCTACAACAACACAGGATGATTGGAATCAAACAACACATCACCCTTTGTCTGGAAAAACAGATTTCCAATTTGTTCTTTTAACAATCAGCAGAAGCCGCTTGCAGTCAGCGTGAATTCCACCAGACACCAAACTAACTGCATGTCATTCATGCAACCAAGGTAATAAACAGAAATATGCTGAAAAGTGGGAAAACTTGAGATAAGTAGTCTTTCACCAATCTCTCCCCAGTTTGTTCCAACTTTATGTTCACCCAAGAACCAATGTTCAGAAAATTGATTGAAAGAAATCTTGTAGCTTAGTGAGAATCTTTTGCTTTACAAGACTTCTACAGCATTTTGTTCATCCAAGAAACTAAAGGCCTGTCATGAAACTGAGATAGATGGAGGTTTTTTTTGAAACCCCGTTCTGTTCTTAATCTGTGTTTGATATAGATAGTGCAAAACAGTGTTACACAAGCCAGTGAGATATTACATGTGCCCCAGACACGCAAATGTATGAATACAAGAAACCTCTTTTGTCTTAAAAGTTTCAAAATACTTGCTGCTGAAATTATTTAACTGAGACACAGACTCTGTAATAAAAGAAACACCCCTTACACACAAAAACACAGATAACAGGCACTGAAAAGGAACACAATTCTGCCCATGACAAGTCTGCAACTGTATCAGTTATCAAGAAATAAATTGCAATAACCCACATAATAAAATTTGCTGGCATCAGACAACACAATGCTGAAAGCCCGATGATGACTAATCAGTAAAACTCTGATGGCATTTTAATGCAAAAAACTTGTGCAAATTTGAGGACTCCACATAAACACAATCATCTTTCATAATCTGTTGCATCAAAGGAAAAATACAATACCTTAAACAGGTTTCCATACTGCTGAAGAGTACAGCTGCAATAAGCAAAGCACCAGCTGAGTTGGGGTCGGTTAGCTTAGGAAATGGAAAACCCAAAATTTGGATTTTCAGAGGTTACTTTAAAAGCACAGCCCAACCAAGTTTCTTTTAAAATATCAGTTTCTAAGCCAGATTGTGACGTTTTCTGACTGTTTAGCTTGTAGACAGCCAAGGGTTGGAATTAAGTTGGCTATAACATGGGTGGGGTGGGTGAGAGTTGGTTATAGGAGGCCAGATGCCACAGAGTGCACATTAGACAACATCCCTCCATTAAGTCAAGTCATGCTGTGTTGCTTGTGGCACAAGGATCAATTATTTTAGCCATCCACCTTTTCCCAACCTTTCAGTTCTTGGGGAATAAGACTTTTTTCCTGTTGCTCTACGCAATAAGAGCACAGTTAATCTGCAACCTAATTCATTAGTAATTTATCTTCTTCCTATTACTGTTAATCTAACACATATAAATAGTTATAAATCAGAGGAGAAACTTGACAACAAACTTCTTAGTTTACTTAGACATGTCATAATCAAGAGCCAATTTAACATTACGTGATGGGGAAAAATTCAAGGGATGTCAGATAATCTAAAACTGGTTAACATCAGATATAAATAAAGCATTTAAAAAGCCCAATACAAAAGGTTTAGACAAAAGTTTGATACTTTATATGTAAAATTAGTTATCCATTTGTAGAAGATTGGATTTGACAGAATGTTATTAAATAAAAGGAGTTTTTGTTCTCTCGAAAAGACTGGCAGCAAAATTGCTTATTACGTGAAATGATCACACTAAATGTGAAAAGCTTCCAAAATGTGACAAATATGAGAAATGCTGTTTCTGGGTGTAAAACACAGCTGCAAATACATTGTTCAAAACAAACATGCCTCAGTGACCTATTCAATTTTTCTTTTCAGTATAGCTTAAAATTGTCCATACGAGAATCATAATTTGCCATCTTTTCTTTCTTAGTCTGTGATTAGCACTGATGCCTCACTGCACCGAGGACCCGGGTTCGGACGGCTGCCTGGGTGGAGTTTGCTAATTTTCCAGGTGGTCTGGTTTCCTCCCAGAAGTCCAAAGATGGGCAGGTTGGGTGGATTGTCTGGGCTAAATTGCCCATAGTGTCCAGGGTTGTGTTGACTAGGTGGATTAGCCACGGAAAATTCAGGACTACAGGGACAGGATTGTTGGGGGGGTGGGGGTGTGAATCTATTGGGATGCTGTTCATTGGTGTGGACTTGTTGGGCTGAATGGCCTGCTTCCACACTGTAGGGAGTCCATGATTCTATGCCCACAGCAAAGCAGATAACAATTCAACTATTTTTATTTTTAAATCTAGCTAGTTGTTCAAGCAAATCTGTGGATATAGATTCCAGGACCAGTTCTTTTAACACTGAGAACTAAAGTATAAGCAGATATCCGTGACGCATTCTCTGAAATGAAAACAGAATTAGTGGACATGATCAATCAACTGACACAATTTTTGGGTGGTGGGGGTTATCAGAATTGGTTTGGATTAGGGATCAGCAAGTATCATATCACTGAGCACTGAAATTCTGAAGGAGCCATTTTTGGTCCCCTATTGTTCAGAAGTGATAGAGTTTTTTTTTAATACATTGATTTTTATTATATTTATTCACATGGGCAGTTGAAGAGTGACACAACCATAGTTTTTGCAAATTGATATGAATCATCTCTCAGGCAGAAACAGTACAAACAAAGCTGTATTTCCTCAAGGAACTTACCGACATGGTAAAATTCTCACTACATCATTTGGCTTGTAGCCTTCAATACAAACAGCACAATTATCGAAGTCTGATTCGGTTTCCTGGGGGGCGGGGTGTGGAAGAGAGAGAGAGAGAGAGAGGGAAAGAGATCGAGAGCGGAAGAGGGGTAGAGAGGAGGCAGGGGGGGGGTAGAGAGGAGGCGGGGGGGGTAGAGAAGAAAAAAATAAATCATTAAAGCTATAAAAACTATGCATTGCTACATTAGGAATCCATAAATGTGATTCACTGGTCCTTTAAACTTACTGTTTTTAAAAATACAAAGATATAAAACATCATGCATTACCAATGGAAGCCTAAAACATAAATTAGTAGAAAACTCAAAACTTCAAACAGAGGTCAATCACGAGATTTGCATCTTTTGGACCTAACTAGAACTCTACTGTAACTTAAACGTGTGAACAAATGAAAGTAGTTAAGAAATTTGGACAGCAGAACACAAAAGAGAAAAGCGTAAAGCAACATCAGGTTCCACTCATTTCATAAAACTGCTCAAGAAGCCACATTCGTCATGGAGTGCAAATACAATGTCTAGCTAACTTTTCATTATTGTAAATAGTCATCTTTAACTCATCCACCCTCACCTCCAATTATAAGTGTGTGCTGTTCATAGAATTCTTTGCCACTAAGATTGGAATCATCTCATCGGCTGCCTCCGCATGCCTCTCCCTTTCCCTCATCCACCAGATCAAATTTCTCTGATGTTGCTTCCTCAACCTTCTCTAGTATTTCTGCTATCTCCCTCATACCAATTTGAGAATCTCATCCATAAGTTGCACTTCTTATTATCTTGATTCTATTCCCACAAATGTGACCAACGTCCTTTTGTGATAGCCATGAGTGTTGATTTGGTCATGAGTACTCTTGTTTCAGGAGCTATCTATCCACTCCTCTCCTATAAATTAGCCTTCATCACCACTCTCCTCACTTACCATCTCAACAAATAACCGCCCATTATCAGTCTCCCTTTCCTTTCCAAAGTCCTTAAACATGCTGCTGGCTTCAAAGTATTGGCACAAATTTCCCAGAACCCATTGTTTCAATCCCTCCAATATTTCCACTGCTGTCACAGTACCAAAACACTTCTTTTAAAATGATACACATGATATCTTATCTTACTGTCCAAAACTGAACAATCGCTCTTCATTCTTCTTGACCTGTCTACAGCATTTGATACAGAAAACCATATCATCCTCCTCCTCCAACACTCTTCTGCTGTTTTCCAGCTGTGTAAGATGCTGCTCACTTGGTTGCACTCTTATCTAACTCATTGCATGAAGATGATCACTTGCAATGACTTTACTTCTCACTTCCACACCATTTCCTCTGCTGTTCTCCAAGTACCTATCCTTGCATCATCCATCCAAGAATCAGCCACATGCTGCCACAAGGTATCCATCTGAAATGCAATTATGTTGCTTCCGGTTATAGTTACGATATTCATTGTTGCTAAATTATCAGACAGCTTAAGCAGACATTTCCTTCAACTAAATATTAGGAAGCACGAACCCATGTTTTTGGTACCCACTGTAACTCCATTCACTAGCTATAAGACTTCATTCTTGCCCTGGATAAGATCTGTGACTAAAACCAGATTGCTTGCAACTTTGGTGTCATGTTTGATAATGGGAAGAACTTCCAAGCAGAACCACATCACCAGGATATAGTTCATGGCATTGTTTGATTCTGTTCCTGTTTCAGCTCATTTGCTGTTGAAACTCTGATCCTTCCCTTTTTTTGTAGTCTCAACACTCAACTATTCTGAATCATTGCTGAGTTGTCTCCCACATTTCACCTGCTGTAAATTTTGGTGATCAAAAGCTCTGCTGTTGGTCTCCTTATTCACACCAGGTCCCATTCCCCAAACACCCCCTGTGCTTTATGAACTATAGTGACTTCCAGTCAAGCAATACTTTAAAAAGTTCTCATTCTTGTTTTCAAATCCCTCTAGCCATACAACCTTCCAAGATATCTGTGTTCATCAAATTCTAGGCTCTTGAGCTTCAAATTTAATTTCTCCACTAGTGATTGCATAGCCTTCAGCTACACAAGGTCTAAGCGCTGGAATTCCCTCCATGAACCTCTCTGACTCCCTACCTTTTTTTAACCTTCTTAAAAGTACCACTTTGTTCAGGGTTTTAGTCATTTGCCTTTGTGGCTCAGTGTTGTAACTTTGCTCTATAATTCTCTCATGAGATTCCTTAGGTTTTTTTTAAACATTAAAATCACTATATAAGCTATTAAAAAATGTAACAGACTGGGCTTGCGATTTAGAAGTGTTTTCTTTTGCTTGGTTTTACAGAGTGTAGCAGTGGCTGGGATTCCTAGTCCACCTTCTCAACTAAAGCTGAAGTCAGGCGTTGATAGCATTAATGAGGATCTACTAGAGAAGAAACAATCAATCATATACTAAGGAAAAAAAAATGCCGTACCTTCCCAATTTTTCTTAAGTGAACTAACTAGATTAGAGTTAGCAGGTTATTTTTTGAAGTGTCAAAGAGAAAATCTCTCTTTTGCTCCTGAATTTTGCTGAGTTGAAAATCATATAGGCCATTGGACTAGCAATGTTGAAGTAATCCATCAAAGAACAACCATGGAGAGATGTGGTGGGCTGTTATTACTAGAGATATTTTTGTATATGTTTATTCATGGAATATGTGCATCACTGACTGATATTTACTGCTTATCCCTAATTGCATGTGACAAAATGGCACGAGTTAATTTGTTAGCATTGTCGACTGCAATGTGTGAAACCTTTGTTATAGAATGTTATCAAGCACCAAAGCAAACAAAACTGAATGGGCAAATTTCTTAAAAATGATTACCTTATCACCTTTCTTGATTGTTCTAATTTGAAGTTTACCAATTGCTTTCTTAGCAGCATCTCCAAGACGGCGCTAGTGGAAAATAAAATCTCCATTACAACAACAGCAAGATGATTTATGTATTAGGTAACCGTTAGTATATACTGTAGTTCAACATAAAACTAAATGGGCAAATTTGTAAAATCAACATAGTACATGCAATCACTTAGTGAGCCATGTAATCCTCAACCCCTCCACATACCTAACAATCCAATGACCTCACTCTACCCTCTGGGGTATCTCTCCCGGTTCTTTTGGCTTACCATTGGAAGGCTACACTTTTAAGTTGCCTAAGCTCCATGTTGTACAGTTTTCTTTAAGATCTTACAGTAATAGAGTCATAGAGATATACAGCATGGAAATAGACCCTTCAGTCCAACTCTTCCATGCCGACCAGACATCCTAATCTAATCTACTCCCACTTGCCAGCATTTGGCCCATTTCCCTCTAAACCCTTCCTATTTATATACCCATCCAGATGCCTTTTAAATGCTGTAATTCTATCTTCTCTGAGGACTTTCTCCTCAAACACCCTCTTAAACTGGGTCTGTTGCCAGGTTTTGAATAACTTCCAACATTTTTTTTAAATTCAACATTACTTATTCCAAATAACTTAATCAGCATCCTGGGACCTTTTCTACCTTAAAAACCCATAAAAATGCAAGCTGTTGCTGTCCTAATCTGTAGTTTGACTAAGTTTAGAACAAAATAAGAGGAAATTATTAAATTTGACAAGGATCACAAGGTTGTAATGTTATTGTGTTTTTCACCTCAAGGAACTCTAAGATTCTACTTCAGGCCAGATTCAGCTTGTAAATCCAACCATATTGTTCTGCTTTGACTTTTATTTTACACTTGCCAGTTTGCCTTTTTGAAGGTTGAAGGTTTCCAGCATTGCTGCAACATTAGTGAATAAATTTCAAATCAGAACATCAAGATGTCTGTACAAGCTGCTCGAGATAAAGGCAGGTTAAGCGAGAACACTGATTTTCAAAACATTTCTTGGTTGTTCCAATTTAAGAATGTTTAGAGCACTTACATGAACATTCCTTTTCTGTAATTTAGCCAATTTGATCCTCCAATGAACATTTAAAGAACATTTCAACATTGGAAACTAGGATATAATAAACAACTTCAGCATCTAACATTTAAAAAGCCAAATAGCAGAATACAAAGCAGAGGCAGTGTTTCACTCATTAGGCTGAGATTTTCATACATGCACCCACATTTGGTGAAGTGGAAATGAAAGAAAAAGGATGCTCAGAAATTGATAGATCTGCATTTGACCCATGAGACTCCAGTCGCCTGCCAAAATACCAAGGAAAAAATGTTGTGCATCTTTAAACCTCTACCTTCATTTAACACTAACTAGTGCTAATGATTTAAATATAGTATACTTCAAATGCACGTTGTAGAAGAGCAACGATCATTTACAAAGACACCTATTATCAGATACTTTGTTTGATAATGCTCCTGTGAAAGTGCTATATAAACACTTACTGTAATAGGTCTCTCAATGTTTAGATGTTGTTCCAGAAAGCATTGTTCATGTTCCTACTACTCCTTTTCCCTCCCAGTTAGAAAACTATATTCTGTAATGTTCCAAAACTGGAGTTTTGTCTCCGATCGTGATCTAAATCACATGTTCCAGTAGAAACTGTTTGAATATGCGGTCAGAACCATCTTTTGGCTCATTGAATTATACACCTTATGGTTTTAGCACTTTGTGCCGATTATTCGTACAAACATAAAACTTGAAATTCTAAAACATGACCATACAAGCCAGCTTCTTTTAACAGACCATGTACAAATAATGCTTTTACACTGAGCTTTGTTTTCAATGGAATTAAATGAACATAAACAAAACTTCAACAAGATGTCAAATGAATTTTGACAGCAATTAACAATTCATTGTTCAGTTCATTATCTTGTAAACATACTTCAAATTTTTTTGTCTCCACTGATCAATGCTAATAATTATTTAACTTATATACAAGTTGAGTTTGAGACTATTTTAAGCCAAAAAAAAAAAAGAGATTAATATGACTAGAGATAGTAGGAACTGCCGATGCTGGAGAATCTGAGATAACAAGGTGTAGAGCTGGATGAACACAGCAGGCCAAGCAGCATCAGAAGAGCAGGAAAGCGGACGTTTCGGGTCTGGACCTGTAACATCAGCTTTCCTGCTCGGCCTGCTGCGTTCATCCAGCTCTACACCTGGTTATCTATGATTAATATGAGCGATATTTTGAGGGGTTAGAATTCAGCCTCACCCATTATCTCATTACCAGCTGTTTATGATAGTGCATCAGCTGGACATAGTTACCAGTTCAGAGACTGGTTTTTGTCAGCCTCACTCCCGACATTTGCACAAAAGAAATCAAAAATATTTTCATGAATTTTTATTTATTAAAAAACTTCCAGAAGCTTTTATTTATATATATTAAATTGATCAAATTTATCAAAAATAAAAGCCATATACAAATTATACAATTTCAGTTTTTATCACTGCATAGAACAGATAACAGCAGCTCAACATACACTGAACTAAAATTGTCCTTTTCTTTTAGGCAACTTTGACAGCATGTACTTGTGCACAATTATAGGGAGCTGAACAGCTGTCTTTGGTTATGTACTATTCTGTGATGGATAGGTTTGTCCCAGGGTGGATTTGACTTATGTGGCAAGGCAGAAAATCAGAGATTTCCTTCTCTGATCCCTTTAAATGGTTTGGTCCACTGTAGAAACCAAGCGATAACAGCAGTGGCCTTGTCCAATTTACAATTGTTCCTGTTTTCACCTCTCCGGTCTTTCACTGTATGACATATTACTGTATAACAGACAGTAACATTCATGATGTATTCTCAGAAACCTGCACCAGGATCTATTCGTAGACAGCTAAATAATTCATTCAGGACAGATCTTATTTCTTTCTCTTTGTACCAATTTGTTATGTTTTGAACTGTGACTGGCAGACCAAAACCCACTGCAGTTAGGATTTTATTATAAATATTCGTTGCTTCTTAGCTGTTCATCCCCATGGCAACATTGGGTCGCATGGTCATTTGTAGGAATTTATTGAAATTAAAAATAGTGGACCACTTGACACTCTTTCAGAATGCTCTATTTCAACTGGGAAACATTAGGTTTCTCTTAGTCTTCCTAAGCACTTACGGCTGAATAGAAGGCTTACAATTTACCTTTCAAAAGATAGAAAATTACAATCCTCTTGTCTGACAGGGCCAGTTAGAAAAAGTTTCATGATAGCAGCTTCTGCCTTGAAGGACAAAGACAACAGGATGCAGGGGAGCATCACGGGATCCACGTGACTCTCTAAATCACACACCATTCTGATTTGGAATTATTTTGTGGTTCTTTCATTGCTGCTCAAATAAATCACAGAACTTCCTACTGACCAGATCTGAGGGAACTCCTACATCATAGTGCTGCAGCAGGTCAAGAAGGCAGTCTTAAGGACAATAAATTTTGACCTGACAGCAATGCCCTTATCCTATAAATGAATGAAAAATGACATTGCAGGTATTACAAATAGCAAATTGTATTAATTTGCAAATATACCAGCATTTAGTTCTACTTCTAAAGTTACACTGCAGCTATCAAGTTGACAATATTTTTGTGACCATCCCCTCCCCAACTTTGCCCTCAGGAGCGTGACATGAGGCTTATTCTTCCCTATGCAAAAATCACGCCATGAAGTAAATAGCAAGGCCATTTTATGATCTCATGGTAAACATGAGCAAAAAGAGTAAACAAGAATAAAATGGACATTTGGAAGATGGTACCATTTGTTCTCCTTCCTAAAAGCACTGTAGGTGTACGTACATCACATGGATTGCAGTGACATTGCTACCTTCTCAGTCAGTAAGGGATGGGCAATAAATGCTGGCTTATCCAGCAATGACCACACCCTCCAAAAGAATAAAAAAAAATCTGGGAGGAGCAAATTGAGAGGTCACTGATATAAGTCATGAAAAATATCAAATCTGGAATTCAGAAGAATGGAATGTGCTATCACAGAGTGGTAGGGGCAAATAATATAGGTGCATTTAAAATGTAAGCATACGAAAAAGATGTTATATTGATAACTTTATTCGTGAAAGAATGCAAGATGACTTGAATGGAACCCAAATGCCAAGTGTACAGGTTGGGATAAATGGCTTGTTCCTTCAATGTAGGTTTTATGTAGAATCCACCACACTTACAGCATGTTAAGTGCACTAGTTATTCATAGAAAATGCTGTGCATATTTATAATCAAGCAATTAAATCTATTCAACTGCTTCATTTCCAATTTGTTCAGTCTTTTTATTCTCTCACTTAGTAATATTCTATCATGACAGTGTCTCAGAATTTTTTGATGAGTTAACAAAGACTGATGAGGATAATGTGGTTGATGATTAGTACATGGATTTCCAAAAAGAGTATTCAATAAGGCGCCACAAACAGGCTTACCAGCAAAGTGAGGCTCATGGACAAAGGGGACAGTTTGGCATGGATGCAAAGGTGCCTAAGTGACAGGAAAATCTAGTGATAAATGTAATCCTTCTTGGACCAGGAGGTGGTATATAATGACAGGGCCCAGGGGACTGTACAATAACTACTGCTTTTTGTGATTTCTTTAAAGATATGGACTTGGGAGTACAGCACACAATTTCAAAATTGCATATAATAGCAAACGTGAATGCATTGTGAACTGGGAATGGATGCAAGGCAGGTGAAGTTTAATGCAGAGAAACGTGGTAATATATTTTAGTATGAAAAGTGGGGACAGGCAATAAAATATAAACCATAAAATTTAAAGGGTTGCTCAAAAACAGAAAAATCTGACAATCTATACGCACAAATTGTTAAATGTGGCAGCAAAGTCAGTGGGATGAGATCACAGGAACAGGAGATGTGTCTCATGGACAAAATGAGCTGTCAGGGGACAAAAGTTGAAATAGGAGAGAACTACAGGAAGATGGGAGCTCGGAGGCTAAGGCAAGGAGGAGTAATAAAGAAAGTGGCCATGTA